CCTGACCTTGAGTAAGCAAAAGCATTGTTACAAAATCCCACTCCATCAAATGATATTTCATCAGGCAGGCTCATAAAATCAAATAATGATTGAACTGCCAGATTTCTACATGCTCAGAGATGATTGTGGCTTTCTCACTTGATTTTATTCATTTTTTTTTTAAACAAGCAGGAAAAACCACCAGCTAGAGCAGAATTTTTCTGCAGCTTCCCACCTTACTCTTTTTTTTTGCCTTTTCCCAGAGCTCTAACAACTGGTGTTCCTGTATATTGGCTGTAATTTAGCTGTGGCAGCATCTGAAGAGGTTTGGGCTTTGAGGGCTCATTTAATGTCACAGTGGAACTGGTTTCAGCACTCCTTGGTGGCTGGTGTGGGGGGAGAGGAGCTGACTAAATTCATGCTGTGTCTTTTATTGATAGATTTGAAGCCTGGGTTGACAGAGAACCTCAAAACTGAGAGAATTTACCCATGAGAACATCAGTCTTTGAAGTTAATTCAGTTTTCCAAGCTCCTGATTAAACAGAGGAGTGGCAGGAAGCCACGATGCTTTGCTTGAGTGATGGAGTGGATGCAGGATCATCACCCAGGTCCTCATTCAAAGGGCTTTGCTTGGCCAGGGTGGCTTGAGAGAACAGCTCAAAGCTGATGTGATGTAACCCAACATTTCAGAGGCACGGGATCCATTCCTCAATTTGGGAAAACTTCAGTGCACTCATGATAAGCAGCAGCTCTATCCACTTCATGGCACTGTGAGGCAATGTCTGTATGCCAGAGCTGGCTAGCAGAGGTGCAAGCAGTAGCTCAAACTTTGTTGCAGATAGTTCATTTCCTAACATACCAGGAAAAAAAAAACCCTTTTAACTTTTTATCAGTGTTTGTCTCCTAGTTTTTTTCTCTTCTAGAAGCAGGGATACAAAAAAAAGTACCTCTAGCTCAGCCCGTGGATGATTTTTACCAACTCATTTTAGTCAATAAAGAAAGAAGGAAACCAGAACTTTCCAGGGCTGTCTGTACCCAGCCAGCACAATCACAGGATAAATCAATAACCACATTAATCAATACGCTGTAAACTGCTGATCTCTGTGGATAAATTGTACTGCTGGAAGAAGGATTTCAAATAAATTCTAAGCTCCCTCAAACTGCAGAGGCTTTAAATCTACGAGGGGCAGGGGGACACGTGAAAGATTTGTGCTGGTTCTCTTTAAAATCTCTGGGATATCCAGGCTGCAGTATAATGTAATTAAATCATGCTGGCAGTGCTCACACGCACACACAGAATCTGCTGCCACGCCAGCCCCAGAAAATATCCCTTAAACTCCAATCTGGGGTTGCTGGCATGGTTGGGATACCTCAGGAGGAAAGGCCAGGCTGAGCAGAGAAGTGAAAGCTGAGATGCAGTTGGATTATTTTACAGCCCCAACAGGCTGTAGCAGGATTTGCTTCTCTGGGTACCTCTGTTTTGTATAAAATCCTCACCCTGAGTGTCTCAGGTGGCGGGTAGGGGCTGAAGGGAGATTTCATGCTTTAAGACAATAATTAGTAGAGTTCCACTGAGTGAGTGAGGGTCATTCCAGCTGTTTTTGGCAGGGCAGAAACCAGAGTTGTGCATGGCAGTGTCCAGGGCACTACCTTAACTATCCTGTTCCATCTTCCAGGCTGTCTGTAGAAACCTGTATTTATTGAGGTGCAAAAATCCTAGAGACTTGACCAGACCTTAGGAAAAACTTGTGTATTATAAGGGGTCTTCTGCTGTCCTTTTGTGTTTCAGAATTATTCCAGCTCATTCTCGAAGAACTAAAAATATTTGTAGCTGTTTTTCAATGCTGAAATATCAAATAGGTTAAGTAAAAAAAATGATACATAGCAGTATTATTAATATGACATTTTAATTGCTCCATCAGATGTTTTTTCAAGTACTAAGTGCTAGGAACTGATAAAAAGAAGAAGTTCATATTAAAAAAAAAAAAAAGCCTGAATGATTGAAGCCATTTAGAGGCCTTTATTGTACTATGCTGTCAAAATGTCCAACTGACCTTTTCTACATGGTAAGAATGATTTGATACAAGCTGGTTTAATAGCACTGATTCCCTCCTCTCCCCCCCTCACAGTTCTCAGGTTAGATAATGGTTAAAGCAAGAGAAATACCAAATCCTTACACATTGAATCATAGAATCATAGGGGTTGGAAGGAACCTTGAAAGATCATCCAGGGACATTATATACAAAGTCACTGCCACCTTATTTAAATTTCATTGCATAGTCCACTGGTGGGATTGTCATACCTCAGTCCATACCCACCCAAAGGCCATATTGTGGTTGCATCTACCCAGGTGCTCCAAACCCAAAATTCAGGAGCATTGAGACACAGCAACACTCTGGCACTTCGAGGGAAATTATGGGAGGTGGTGCGTTGGAAATACCAGTGCCAGAGGGGACCAAAGGCATTGATTTATTCAGAGCAGGACAAGTTCTGCCTCAGCTTTTGCCCAGGGAAAGGCAAAGAGCAGTTGGACACACGCTCCCTGAAAAGACAAAAAAACTAGGGGGGGATGTAGGGAAGGAAGCAGGATCTCCAGAGACCACAACCTCTCTGAGCAGATTAATTCTCTCTTCCACACAGGCTCTGAAAATCATTGTGGGAAATTCTCTGCAACCACAGTACAATAAGATATGAATACATTTTTCTTTTTCCTGCTTTTACAACATATTTATACATAAGTGTGATATAAAGCCCTGTGTCAAATCGTCACCAGGGCTGCATTCCAACGACCTGCAGAAAACACAGAGTGTTTCTGCTCTTCAGGAAAACGTTGATTTAGGGGCTGATACAATAGCACACGTGGGCTATTTTATTTAGTTTCTTGGCATTCATATTCAGAAATTGCCCTATAAAGAAGGGAGAAGGCATTAAAGAAAGTTTAAAAGCTCTTAAATCACAAAGAATCATTGTGTTTAGAGTGAGCTGAAACGTTTGGATAGACTCAAAATTGGTTTTTTCGCGGAGAAATATTTTGCTGATGTGTTAAATTTAAAAAGAAAATCTCTGACTCGGACTATTTTTCACTTTTGGTACTTTGCTTGGGATATCAAAATAAAATAGCTATCACTCTTCCAGCTATTTGAAAACTCAGGCTAGTCTGTGATTTGATCTGTTGTCTCTAAAATCTGGTAAGACTGGGCCCAAAGATCCCCTGCCTTGATATCTGTAAGTGGGATTTTTAATTCACTTTCCTAGTTGCTGAAAGTCAGGAGCATGGCAGAATTTTTCGTTTTACTTTCCCCATTATTTATATTTTGACTTCTGGTTTTAGGAGATTTATACTTGTCATATTTTCAAACTTTTTTTCCTGACAAATGAATGACAAATAAAACTATTTTTAACCCTTTTTTTATTTTAAAGAAAGCTGCCAGTCATTGGAACTCTTTCTATATCAGCATCAGGTGCTTTGAGAAGATTTTCACATGAAAAAGAAAGCTGGACTTTCCCTGATTTGGGCATTTCAGACCTCAGTTCATCCTAGTGAAACACCAAAATAGAACTGGGGAGCTGAAGAGAAGAAAATCAACCTGCACAAGTTAGAATGTTACCTTGATTTAAGGAGGGTGGGAGGGGACCATGGTTATATCTGTATTTATTCTTAAAACTGCTTAGAAATCCTGTTCCCAAGGCAGAAAAGTCAGTGAGGGAATAGTTTTACTCATGCTCATGATATTCCTAGGCTGTCCCTTACTTCAAAAGAGTATTTCCATCAAAACAACAGAACAGGACTGATGTAGAAGCATCAGGTGAAATAATAGAGATAAAAAGATGCAGATTTTGAGAATTATCTTCTGCATTGAGAAAAGCACCTTGCAAAGAGCATCAGTAATGTTCTTTCAGCATGGAAATCAGCAATGGAAACACATCTGAAGAGAAGATTCAGTTTCACTGCAGAAGAAAGTTGGTTTTACTTCATTAGAGTGTTATCAAGGGTTTTTTTTTTTAGCACCGTATCCACTTCTTTCTAAACTGTTCTTTTCTTTTGAGAGCTATGTTAAACCTCTTCCTAATAACTTCTGCCATTAGAATCTTTGTAGAAATCCCCAGGGGATGGGCTTCTAAAAGTGGCATTGTATTTCTAGAGCCTCCCTGTAATTAAGCATCTATCAGGCCTTCTTTTCAGTTTTATCTACCTGCTCTGCAGAAATCTCTCTTTGCTTGAATAAAAAGAGAGATTTTCTTTAAACATAGCTGAAGGATTGCATTTGTGTTATGAAATATAAGAATTTTAGATTCAGTTTAACTGAAAAAAAGAAGTAACCTTTGCTTAATGGCCACAAGAAGTTCCACAAGAGATCTGCCATGGCAAAGAGCAGTTTCTGCTGGAGATGGGTGATGCAAAAAGCTCTCTCAGAGCTCCACCAAGAAGTGGTGAACTCTGTGAAACCTTGTGTGGAATTCAATATGGGGATTATTAAACATTACCAGGTGAAACTTTCCTAAGTTTCCCTTTTTTGAGGAAACAGTACAGCACATTTCATGTAGTCCATTGTATGACACCCCCTGTAATACAAACAAGTGCAAAAAGTAAACAAATAGCTTTTATTTAGTTGAAAGTGGGGTGGTTTTTTTTACAGGTTACATTGAAGAACGTGAGATAAATAATCCCCCATCACAAGCAATTGTAAAGTCTCTTCTCCTCAGTGACAACAGCTTTGCACAGGTCTTTCTTTTCTGACACATTATGCTTATAAAAAAATCTGAGACCACTCTCCTTACAATCTCATTACATTTGGCAGCACTCCATTTAATTAATGCATATACATTTATCCCTTAATTGCAACGCTTATTTTTAAAAATTAATGTCTTATCAATACTTAATGTTTTCTTAATAATAGACCACTTCTATCTCCCTCCCTCCCCCCCTTCATTTATCAGGAATGTTGGTCAGGGTGAAGTATTAAGATCAAATCTACACGGTTTAGTTTTTAAAAGTCCCTGGCTGAGCATTGTTTTAATCATCAAGGAATAGGGTGTATAAAACCAGAACTCAACAGCAGGATCCCAAATATCATTGTTTGATTTACCCTTTGGGACAATTTCGTTGCTCCAGAGCTTAAACCTGTAAAAATATAAGCAGACAGAATTTTTTTTTTTTGACAAAAGCAAATTTGTGTCACAAAAAGGTTTTCTAAATATTGCAGCATAACAGAAATATTTGTTCTATTTTCAATAGGAAACATTACCCACAAATATTATAGCTATTTATTTATTTTTGAAATTTTAGCAGCAAATTCTGTGGAGGATGGTTCCAAACCACCTTCCCTATGAATATCCATGTTTTAAGGAGTTTTTTGGCCAGCTTGTTGCAAAGCTGTGGTCCATTTTGCATGAATAGTATGATATTTCTGAGAGCAGAAGCTTTGACTTTAGCAGGAAAGGTTATTTCTCTGCCCTTCCCTGAGCACTACAGGCCAGGGCAGATGGTGACCTACCCTAAAAATAAGGTCACGTCCAGGTGCTGTGCAACATATTTTATCTTCTAATGAATCTGAGAGTCCCAGAGACTAATCTCCATGTACCCAGCACTACAAAGCAACAGGGGGGAGGCCACCTATGGCAATGGAAAGTCTGTTTATTTGTAGTACTACTTAGAGGCACACAGATTTCTCATTACACAGTAATATTCAGGGAAGAAAAAAGACAAAAACAAAATATAAATCTCACGTACTTGATAGTTTTGGAATCCTAATTTCCTCACTGCTGCTGCCATCCCCACCGTCACTGACTGTTCTTATTTCTATGAGATAATCTTCTTCAAATGGTACCAGAAGTTCAGCTGAAGTGTTGTTTGTCTCCAGTATATGTGTTTTGCTATGTCTGTTTTGTCTATACAAAATCTAAGTAAAAAGGGATTAGAAAAGTTGTTTTTTTTTTTTCTTTTTAATGGATTTTTTTTTTTGGCTGAGAATATATTCTGTCATGTCTCAAACTTTTCAGAGCACTATCAGCAGCCTTCAGAGTATTAAACTTAATTCAAACCAGAAAAATATCTTCTGCAGAATAAGTCTCTTAGGGTCAGAGCCACTGCAAACAAACTTCAAACTAAATTTTTCCTTGCTTTAAAAATAGATTTATGGGAGTTCTTTTCACTTCGTTCACATTGATCTTTATGTGAGTACCTTCCTCTCTCTTTTTAAAGGTATATTTATGAATTGCCAGAGAGTGAGAACTTGTAAGTGTGTTTTATGCCTGTCTTTAATGCTTGAGAGACTATTCTTGACTTCTTATATATGTGTGAAACTCCTTCCTCAAAAAGATGTGAGCACAAGAATCTTAGTTCAGGAAGATCACAAGGGAAAGGGCACAAGAGAAAACCAGAATTTGGGATAAAAAAATCCCTGTGTTGGGATAAAGAGGTCCTACTCTGGAAGAAGACAGCTGCTCTGTTTCTATAAAGTTCAGCCAACCACCCCGGCCACTCCAGAAAAATCAGTTTTCCAGTCACCTTTCAACAAATCACTTTTTGTGCCTTCGTTATGAACGACTAATTAGACAAAGAAATGACTTACTTTGTAGCCTAGCACCTCTGATTCATTCTCCATTGTTTTCACGTGTTCCCAGTTCAAGCAGATTTTGGAATTTGTGAGTTTCCAGGCGATGTTTGCTGGGGGTTGACTCGGTGCTTTAAAAAAAAAATAATTAAAAAAAAAAGATGATAATTACAAGATATTAATTTGCATAGAGTAATTGAATGAGCTGCTGACACGGAAGCAGCAAATGCGTGGGTGGTTCAGCTCGACACGAGTCAAAGATATTTTCCAGTCCATCATTGCTCTCGTATTAGTCAGGATAAAGATCTATTCATAGCACAAAAACCACTTACTGTGAGAGTTCATTTTCAAAATTAGGAAAAGCCTGACAGTGTCTGACAGTTCAGGTTATAGTTGATAGATTTTGTTTAAGCACTGTGTTGTTCTAATCTGTGTTTTAATGTTTTCCTGCATGGATTTCAGGAAAAGCTAAAGTACAAAAGACAAGATTTTCATCAGTCATGAGGACAGGTCACAAAGAGCTACACATTAAAGTCTCCATGTGATCCATCATGAAATATTGTAGGATTTTATAAATTCTCAGCACAATAGGCTGAGAATAGCTTTTTGAAAGCTTTTTATGCCTAAGTGCCAGGGCCCTGGTGACGCGGTGGTTGGACTTGATGATCTTGGAGGTCCCTTCCAACCTAAATGATTCTATGATTCTATGACTTTGAAAATTTTCCTACAAGTGACCGAAATCGAATCCTGGGTGAACATGTGAAGTTGAAATTATGCCTTTGAACTTCATCTCAAATCCAGAACAACACATTATCTCCTTCTCCATGGTGTGTCCTCCCAAACCCTGCCTGAGAGAACAGGAGTTGGGGTGTTAGAGGAAATAAAGACTTGAGCAGAATTAAGAAAAATCTTGGAAGCACTCAAACATGGGTGAAAAGTGCCTTATCAAGGCTTTTCAGCATAGAACTTAAAGCCATCTCAATTCGTAGTCTTAGGGCTGAAAAACCACCACAGGATGATTTTCAAAGCAAAATTATCTGGTTCTGCTATACAACCAAGGACCAGAGTAGGTGATAACAGGACACTTCCCCAAATCCTTAGTAATATCCACAGGAAAAAAACCACTGTGAACAGTTCTTCAGGTCTAAGTTTAGCAGATAATTTCCTCAACTAATTTCTTGCAATCACTGTCAAGAAAATTAAGTTTTATTAAGTTAATGACAATACTTTGATGTTTTACATAACGTTTGGCTTGGTTGCTGTACTGAGTTGAGCTTTATCGTGGCAAAGTATTTCTAATATCTATATCTCTTGATGTTTATACTAGTAAAAAAAGAAGAAGCAAAGAAACTTCTGAAATGACAGCAGAAGAGCAGAGTTTGACAACAGCTCCTAATGGAGCAGCATGTTCATGGGAGGAGGACCTCATTTCCACTTCCCTGAGTCGTTTAAACTCAAACCAGGATATCAACTTAGACCTTAAATTGATCTAAGATCAGTATATTTCACTCAGAATTGCACCTCTTTGGCAGCAGGACCGTTTTAGCTTTGTTTAGTCTCTACAATAATGGCATGGACAGACCAGTGCAGGAATCCTGGATGCTGAAGAGGAAGACAGAGCTATTACCTTGAAGCTAAAGCTCCCACTGTAGATGCACATTGTTTCTATCCTCTTGACATATTATCTCCACTGATATTGACAGTGCTTGCATCATTCAGAGACTGGAGTTTAAAACTTTAATAGATGTTTTTAAATATTAAAAGGGTTATTTTGACTTTAATTTTTAAATGAACCATTAGCACAATCCTGAATATGACAGGAGATGAAGAAGATGTAAAACAAAAGCAAATTTGTTCCTTATGTGTCTTGTCAGTTGACTGCCATGTCTTTAACTTGTCTTTCATACATATGCACATACGAATATAGAAAATAATGTCCAGAGATGAGTTTATTTTCCAGTAAGAAATTGCCTGTGAGAAGAGTCTAGAGTCTAGAGTTTTAGTATGAGGTGTCCTTGCTCATGGCAGGGGGGTTGGAACTGGGGGATCCTTGTGGTCCCTGCCAACCCTGACAGATTCTGATCTGTTTTAGCAGAGGACTTAGTAGTGTTGGCTTGATGGTTGGACTTGGTGATCTTAAAGGTCTCTTCAAACCTAAAGGATTCCATGATTCTATAAGTCTTGTTTAAGCCCTTGAGAAATACCTTTTTTTTGACTTTATTTGGGTTTATGTTATTTGAAATAAATGGTAACTTTTATGATTAACTCATTATATACAAGTTGGTTCCTCACTTTGAGTAATGGCATGGAACAGCACATAGGGAAGAGGAAAATAAAGACAGGAGGAATATCTCCCTTTTTGTGCAAAAGTGCTGATCAGTTGTTTCCCATGACAACATAGTCCAAGGAAACTCTAAAATAAGTGGAATGCCTAAAGAGGAATAAATTTGGGGCACTACGGTACATAGATTACCAAGATTTCCTACTGTATGACTATTTAACTCTCAGGGATCTGATTTTATAAATGAATTGGGTAAGTGAAATACCCTGATTTAAGTTGATGAGATTTTTGGCTTCCATTGAGCCAGACCTGAAGCTAAATATGCTATTAATACCTTAAATATTGCTTCCATGGTTGCCCAGGGAAGTTGTGGATGACCCTGGATGTGTTCAAGGCCAGGCTGGACATGGCTTTGAGCAACCTGGTCTAGTGGGAGGTGTCCCTGCCCATGGCAGAGGGGTTGGAACTGGATGATCTTTAAGGTCCCTTCCAGCACAAACCATTCTAAGATTCTAAATACCAGAGTCTGAGTAAACTTGATGCCAACCACACAACTATTATCAGGGAAGAGGCAGAGAACTTTCTTAGTCACAGATTTTGTTGCTTCGTTTTATGAAGAAATTTGGGATCCACTTTTCTTTGGCATGACATCGTTGAGCAGAGATGGATCACAGGAAGTGGAAATGCCACCACCCCACTTGGGAGTTTGCAGCTTTTGTTGTAGGAGGTTGAATACTCACGTGATTTTTTAGTGGTGACATTTACAGGGGTGCTGGAGGGCCCTGGTCCTGCAGTGTTGTAAGCTCTAACTGTTGCAAAATACACCGTGTTAGCTTTTAGTCCTGTGATATTTTTGGCTGTTACATTCCCATTGACTCTGACTTTGCCAGCTGTGCTTTCCTTGGGATCATCAGTCCAATATAAAACCTGAAAAGTGAGAACAAACAACAGGCAATTCATTGTTTTCCATCAACTAGCAGGAAATAAAACCAAGAAAAACACTTCTAAAACCCCAAAATTTCAGAGACAGAATATCAGTTAAGGAAGTAAATTAAATCCAGGTTTAGGTTGGATTTTAGGAAAAAACTTCTTCACCCACAGGGTTGTCAAACCCTGGAAGAGGCTGCCCAAGGCAGTGGTGGAGTCCCCATACCCTGGAGGGATTTAAAAGATGGGTAGATGTGGTGCTGAGGGCCATGGTTTAGTGGTGGGCTTGGCAGTGTTGGTTGGACTTGATCTTAAAGGTCTTTTCCAACCTCAATGATTCTCTAATTCTGATTCTAAAGAGTGAGAAGCCCAAAGCCTTTCAAATATGCTGCAGCAAAACTTTGGATGGCAATGAAGAGCATTTATCTTGGTCTTCTCAAAGCAACACTATGGGTCATGTGCATGCCCCTGAGCTCTCAAGTTGCCCACTGTGCTCAGACAGCGTTACAGCTGTGAAGAGGAGGGAGGAGCAGCTTTGTTTTGTGAAATGAAGCACGAATCCTTTTACAGTAGCCATCACAAATGATTAATCTAGAGGCTTTCATTTATATTACCAGAAGTCTAGGACAGAGCTGCAGTCAGTCCTACTCTGTAAATGCTTGTGATCATCTCAGGGGAGATGCCAGGTGACTGTCTGGCTGTTCCCTTGGAGCACTGCATCCAGTTCTGGAGCCCCCAGGACCAGAGGGGTGTGGACCTGCGGGAGCGTGTCCAGAGAAGGGCCACGAGAATGATCCGAGGGCTGGAGCAGCTCTGCTGTGAGGACAGACTGAGCGAGTTGGGGCTGTTCAGTCTGGAGAAGAGAAGGCTCCGAGGTGACCTTATTGTGGCCTTCCAGTATCTTAGGGGGGCCTAGAAGAAAGCTGGGGAGGGACTTTTTAGGATCTCAAGTAACAACAGAACTAGAGGGAATGGGGCAAAGCTGGCAGTGGGCAGATTCAGGCTGGAGGTGAGGAAGAAGTTCTTCCCCAGGAGAGTGGTGAGACCCTGGGATGGGTTGCCCAGGGAGGTGGTTGAGGCCCCACCCCTGGGGGTCTTCAAGGCCAGGCTGGAGGAGGCGCTGGGCAGCCTTATCTAGTGGGAGGTGTCCCTGCTCATGGCAGAGGGGTTGGAACTGGGGGATCCTTGTGGGCCCTTCCAACCCTGACAGATTCTGATCTGTTTTAGCAGAGGACTTTAGAGCCCTAATGGCTCAAGGGTTGGACTTGATGATCTTGAAGGTCCCTTCCAACCTAAAGGGTTCTATGATTCTTGGAAGCAAGGGAGGAGGAGCCAGAATATCAAGGTGGCCAGCCAGGGGCCATCTGTCAGGTGTCAGCACCAGCAGGAGCTCCTCACCTCGTAGCCCAGCACCCTGCCCGTGTGCCTGTTCCAGGCGATGGGCTGCCAGGAGACCTCCACCTCTGCTGCCGAAACGCTCAGCGCCGCGGTGCCCGCCGATTCTTGGAAGCAAAGGAGGAGGAGCCAGAATATCAATGTGGCCATCTGTCAGGTGTCAGCACCAGCAGGAGCTCCTCACCTCGTAGCCCAGCACCCTGCCCGTGTGCCTGTTCCAGGCGATGGGCTGCCAGGAGACCTCCACCTCTGCTGCCGAAACGCTCAGCGCCGCGGTGCCCGCCGGTGCCCTCTGTGGCTCTGGGGGTGGGAGAAGACACAGCTGGTGAAACAGTGGTGCTGTGGAAAGGGGGTTCTGGCAGGAAAAAGGAGTCAGGAGAAGAGGGTGAGGTTCTGGGGGGAGGCAGCAGGCAGAGGCTCAGGAGAGCTGGTGTGAATCGCCGGCTTTGCTACCCACTGATTGTTTCCAAAATGGGTCGTTCTCCATAAGCTGGGACAGATTTTCAGATGAGATCAGCTGCACTGAGTGATCTGAAAAGCTAGATCCTCTTTCAAATGTCTCCTGATTTTCCCAACCCACTCAGTGGAAGCTCCTCAGGGACAAATAAGTTAAAACGTGATGGCTCCTTAAAGCCATTTTGAAAGCCTGCCCCTTGCTTTTACTTCAATTTCCCATCTTCTGCCTCCTGCCTCTTGTCAACCTTCAACAAGCAGCTTTGAGAAGGCTCCTTAATATCCCTGTGGAGAGCTATCTGACCATATCTAGGACCTACTGATGCTACACAACCATTATTAATGAGAGTAACAGGTATTACCATCTTCTCCAGAGTAGACAATAGATATGGAGCTCAAGGTCCCTTCTCCTTCGTTGTTGTAGACACCAACTTTCACTTCAAAAGGAGACAGAGGCGTAATGCTTTCGTTCCTATAAACATATTTGCTTGCTTCCACTGAAGCCACCACTGCTTTTGTCCAGGTTGTTGAGCCAAGAGGACGAAACATCACGACGTAGCCAAAACCTTCCCCATTTTGTAGTTCTTCTGGAACTGGCTGTAGTGACAAGGGAGTCAGTCAATAAGCATTTGCAAGTATACACTGTTTTAATTGAATCTTCATTCTCTGAGTATATTTTACTGGTATTGATTTAGTTGACTGTGCCTTAGAGAAGATAATAATGTTTGCTCCGTCAGTCAATGTAATCTTGAGATAAAAAATCAAAATAATAAATCTATTGAGGCAATCAATTTAGAGACAAAAGATCTGATCAGCTCCATTAAAATGATTCTCTTCCAGAGATGGAGTTTTAAAAATTAAGTGTTTCACTCAGTACAGGTTGTAGCTGATTTCCCCCCTCCAAGGAGTACAGTAATGCTAATTTTAAATAAATTATTTTTAAAGAAAAAAATGTTGAGAAAGGAGCAAATAGAAAAAAGAAAATCAGAAAGTAGATAAAATTATTTCAGGGTACTTATTGTATTATTTTTTTCATAAATTCCTTCTAATAATAATCCTGGCCTGGAATATATAACAAGTGTGTCTTTCCTTAGGTGTTTTCTAAACACCAGTTCCCCAATATTTTCCCTTCTATCACTTTTCCAGTCTTGAGAGAGTTAAGTGCCAGGGATGATGGTGCACTGGGGATTTATATGAGTTCAAGCTACTTTCTAGAGCATTTAATTTGTTTTTGAGGCTTCTGTGACCTCAGATTTAATCAAGATGTTTAGTGAGTTCATCACAGAAAGCTGGAGAGTCGAGTTCAGTGTTGTTAGCTTGGCATAATTAGTATTTCTTCTGACTATTTTTCAGGACACACTGTGGAGTCCAACAGGATAATTTGATTGAGATCTCTCAGGTTGTTTTCAATTTTCATGTTCTTTTGCTCCCAAAGAGTAGATCAGTAGAGGAGAAAATGAAACAAAAAAAGTGAAAGATGCAGATGGAGGAAAACTTAGTTCAGGAAAAGTGAATTTTGACTCTGTTTGGAACATGGAGAAGGGAAAGCACTGGCAAAACGATTTATCTAGTGGGGATTTTGTTCTTTTGACTTCATTTTTTCCTCATCACTTCCCTTCCTCCCTCTAAAAAGGTTGGTTAAATGGCACAGTTTTTTTTAGCATACAGCAGAACACAGATAAGTCACTCAGCTGATGAAGAACATCACTTTTAGTTTAATTTAATTCCTTTTCATTTCCTTCAAACCATATCTGTGAGCTTGGCTATTTCTTTGGAAAAACAATGTAATCAAGGGAGAGAGAAGACTACTTTCCTTCCTAAAGTTGAACTAGAAGACTTTTTTCAAATTCATTTTTGTCACAAAAAAAGGTTGTTTTCCATGAGTTATGAAGGAGACACCATGTTTTTGGAGGCCCCATCCCAAATGAGGAATTAAACAGAGGTCATCTTGTGCAGCCTCTAAGACCCTCACCCCTGATAGTGAGGTTCCATGACAAGGCTGCCTGGCCCTGCCCTCCAGGCTGGGGTAGCTCCTACTTCAGTCAGACATCCTTAAACCCAGATTTAATTAGGTGAGCCACATTAAATTCATAGGATTTTATTTTCAGCAGCAAAAAAAACCCCACAGGACAGGAGATGAGTTTTTCCACAGGGGCTGGAGCCCCAGCCAAGCATCTGCCCCATCCCTTCATGGGTTTTGTGAGATGCTGCCTGCCTTGATCACAACCTCCATGGGGCTGCTGCTGGGAGGCTGGAGAAGGAGATCTCCTTCCCACAACACATCCTTTCCACCCTGAATTGACCTGTGCTCACCCATTGCAACTGATACTATGGTATTAACTGCTCTGGAAAAGTATATTCTCTCTTCTTGCTCGAGTGCTGGAGAATTAAAGGGCTCATCTCCTTTAACACATAATAGGATATGTCTTGTCAGCACAGTGTTCCAGAATGAAAAACATGTAAACAAAAGTGTGAAAAATGTTAATGCAGAAAACGGCCAAGCAGATTAGTGTGTTAAGCACCTCCTGTACAATGGAGATAAGAGGGTTATACAGACTTCTAAACATCTTTATAACATGCCTCTTAAACTGTTTATTTTTATAAATTGTTGGCTAGAACACAGAAAACTTGTTGTATATCTTACAGGCTGTTTGCTCTCTGGATGCAGGATGAAATCCAGGCTCAGCCAAAGCCAGTGACCAAAAGCTTTTGGATTTCAGCAGGGCTGGGATTTCACCCGTGGACTCTTCCCCGTTAGGCAGCTTAGGTTAATTGAGCTAACAATTACCTCCCATGTGATGACCAGCTCAGAACGACTCCCTCCTCCTCCGCTGACGTTCGTCGGTGCCACGACAGGAACTAGAGGAGAAAAGATGTTGGTGCTTGCACCTACCCACCCCTCCTGCCAAGGGTCTTGCCAACTGGGTGATTAGAGCTTTCCTGAGCTCATGGTTTGTCTCCCAACACCTAGAACAGGGTCTATATTCTGTAATGGTCCATTTTAAATGAACTGAAATGTTCTTTATACCTTTTCAAGTTTGTGAGGTTGAAGACACAGATGTAGCTGATACGTGAGCACCCTGGTTCAAAAAATTAATTAAAGACACTAGCAACATCAAGTATCTGACATTATTATGCCTCATCAACTAATTGGCAAAATGATGTTCCGTTCAGACTGTAGCTGCAACACTACTGATTTACTAATTATGCATTTGTTCAGTAAACACGTTGTTGGAGCAATAGATTAATTTTTTTTTAATTGGCTGCGAGCTTGTCTTAGGAAATTCAAAACTCTTAAAGCACCTAATTTGTTTTTCTCCTTCTCCCAGCACTGTAAGTGTCCAAAATTTCATCAATTAGAGCTTGATTTCCCCAGTGCTGCCCCAGGTATATGGCACCATAGGTGGAGGGTGAAGGTCAAGCAATGCACTGGTGTTCCAGACTGAAGTTCAGCCTGAACATAGGAACTCAATTTTGTCACAATTGATGTCTTTGTGCATGTCAGAGGCAAATAATCTAAGTCTGAAGAGAACAGCATTATAGGCAACAAGAGTCAAAACAGACTTTCAAGCCTGGTGTTTCACTGTTTCATGAACCAGTTGATGCTCAATTAGTTCATGTGTTAAATGTGTTCAGTACTTACTACATTTGCATGGGGAAAAAATTTGTATTACTGCTCAGCGGAGCCTCAACTGGGTCATAGTTGGGAAACAGATGAAAATTTACAGCTGAGTGCACCAACAGAGGCTCAATTAATTCTCAGCTCTGTTTTAATGAAATGAACAGGGGCTCATTTGCATCCACCAATCTACTAATGCTCAGATTTCAGCTGGCAAAATAGCTGTTCCAACAGTGATGTTCAAATTCACACTTTCGTGACCAACCTTTTGCTGTCCACACTGCCAGAGGGTTTTCAGTCTCCTATTCTGATAAAAAAAACCCATAAACTGTTACCTCTCCCACTGCACAATGTTTTGAGACAGAATGATTTAAAGCAGTGAAGGGGTTAAGCAACTAAAAGTTGAAATGCTTCTTTCTATTCCTTTTGTTAAGCTTCAGATGATGCTGCACTGCAAGGAAATAATATTCCTTGTGCTATTGCCATGACAAATAAAATTAATTTAATTGCTCCTTTCTCTTTCTAGCCCTAGCCTTGTGAATCCCTCTAATAAAAACCAAACCAAACGAAACATTTTAAAGGCTGAAAGCTTTTACTGACTGCATAGGTGGTTTTGAACATCAAACTTTACAAAGCTCCACAGCAGCAACAGCAAGAAAGACCTTTTCAGGACTCATTTTGACTTCATGATCCATTACGTAATGGAGAACAAATAGCTGTGATACTCTGCTGGGAAATTTAGAAACTCTGGCCTCTTCCTAGCTCCAGTTTTTCATTAGCCTTCCCTTTTTATGTTGCATGTGAACATTCCCTGTGGTTCTGCTGCTGGAGGAAGGGGCCATGCAGAGCCCCAGGGCCAGGCAGGATCAGTGCATCTTCCCAGGTTGGAAGCTCTCAGGCTCTTCCCATTCCTACCACATTGACCAGGCAGTCCTGACTGCTTATAAGACTCATTTGATGTCTCTCTACACCTGTAAAGCCCACAAAATCTATCAAAATTGGTGTTCTAAGGATCAGACAGGTTTTTTTTTCTGCCATCAGTACCTCAGTATAAGTTCTTCAACAATAGGGAAAAGCAGCTTATTAAATTTAAATACATTGATTTAATACATTTGGAAGTAATTCTGCCTTGGAACAAAAATTGTAGGTATTCTGAGAAACAAATGGATCCCCCTTCCTAGGAATAGACTTATTTTCTGCTGCATAATGTACAATACAGTGTTTTGAGTTCTGTCTTGAAACGCAGCCTGCCAAACTTCAGAGCTTGGCAAATGAGATAAACAGAGCAGAGAAAGTGGATTGTAAAAGCTGCTTCCATTTTACTGCTCTCCGTCCTATAAATACTGATTTTATAGGTGGGAGAGAGTTGATAAGCACGAGGCTGGGAAAAGGTTTGGGCTTGAAATAAATTGTACCAAACTGAGTAGGTCAAAGGACTGACAGCGTCGGTCATCCAAGAATGAGTCTTCCTCCTATGAGGTTCAAAGCCCCAGAAGATAATGGATAAAGGGTAGACAGAGAGCTAGCAAGGATCCCACCCTGGGGTCAGTAGAAGCTATTAGTTTCGCTGGGCTTTGGATGGTGTAATTTATTTCCTCCAGTTGAAGCCAATATCCCATCCTTACTGCTGCTCAGGTACCAAAGAGCCTCTGCAGCAGAGGCATTATGGGCTTGTGGCAGGATATGCCACAGAACTGGCTTCACTGTTTCCTGGGTGGGTCCCTGAGCAGGCCAGAAATGTGCTTTTAATTGCCAGGAAAAAAAAAAAATGTGGTGCTCTCCAATTGCTTGGAGGGAAGTCTGTGTTCAAGCATGAGGTTTAGATACGTTCTGGGGTGTATCAAAGGGAGGAAGCATGGGCCAGCTCCAGCCCAGGAGATGTCCAAATCAAAGAGTAAAGCTTGTGGCACCTCAATCATGTCCAAGCATCCCTTGCATCACTTTTTGAGGTCTCCTGCCATAGCAGCCACCGACTACAACATCAGGTAGACCTGGAAGTAACCCTGTAGGAGTGAGTGGCTCTGCTGCTGTGAAATTCTCACACCTTGGAGCTGGCAATGAGGTTCTTCTCGTTGTGGAAGAACCTGTCAGAAGCTAGGGACTTACCTGCTGCTTTAGTTTTCAGTAGAGCTGATGGTCTGCTCGGCTCCCCAATTCCAACACTATTGCTGGCAACCACACGAAACTCATACTCAACCCAAGGGCTTAAGTCAACCACTGTTGCCTTGTGAGTCCTACCATTAATGACTTCAGGAACTAAAGGCAAAGTAAACATGTCAATCACAATGGATTTTTGGAGTAATTAAGGGTATATGCAAATTAATGGTAGAGGAAAAAATACAAGGTAACTCTCAGGTTGCTCACCAGTTGCAGCTGCCTGCCATCCAACTGAGAAAGGAGTCCTTGTCTGGACACTGTAGATCTGGACTGGACTATTATTATCTATTCCAGGCTTCCAGGATAACACAGCAGTAGTGCTAGAAACATGTTCAACTTTAACATCTTCTGGTGGACCTGGGGGGCCTGATAAGATTAACATTTTGAGATGAAGGTCACAGCAGGACAATCTCTAAGTGATGGCTTCATGCCTGTGTCACATTTTTCTAATTAATGAGGGGGTTCGTTAGGAAAATGAATGTCTTTAAGTTACTAACACCAAAACTACAAACAAAGGAATGATTATTTTTTTTTCAATCTGCCAGAGGAAGTTTCCCAGTGTGTCTTCTGTTGAACCACCCAAAATTTTCAGAACTCCTATTGAATTCAATCAAAACTGAGGTTTAGAAAGAATGTGAAATAGGGCATGATAGATTTCTGCTGGGGTTTAGAGGATCTGCTCCCATCACAGCGTTTCTCTTGCTGCTTGCAATAAAAAGAGTAGTTAGTTGACCATAGAAAACAATTTTTCATGTTGTCTCCAAATAGTGGAAGAGAAGCAGATCTCTTGTTTTGTCAAGCCTGCACGTTGACCCAGAGATGCCCAACAAGGAGTCTGCTGAAAGCAGAGGACTTCCCTATGCCCTGCTACGTTGACCTGAGTGGCCAGAAAAGTTTTGCTTCCAAAGAAGCCCTGGCAGAACTGCACAGATCTCCCTGGGTTAGCTCTCACATTAGAATCCTGCTGGCCAGAATCTCAACCCAATTTTGGGGCTAAGGGTACAAGGTCTGTAGCATTTCGCTATTGAAAGGTTGAATTGATGGCCTAGGAATCATTTCAACAACAGCTGATGTCAAGATTCTAATTCCTCCAGAAGATCTCTGTGCCTACATTTAACAGACATACCTCTTACAATTATCTCTCCTGCTGCAGACTGACTGTCTAAAGTTGTTTGTACCACGCAGACGTATTTCCCAGAATGATGTAGCTGAATATTTCTTATCATCAAATCCCCAACAGATTCCTGGAGATACAAAGAAAACAAACTAATCACTCACAACGTGCTTCCCATACTGGCCGTTTTTTTATAAATTGCTCAATATTAATAAAAAATTCAGCTTGGAAATTAAAATATTCAGAGCTCTCATCAGTTTCTTTCACGGCGACGTTTTTATTGTGGCTTCACAAATAACTCGAGCGCCTTTATGAAATTTAAGAAAGAGAAATAAATGGCTGCAGCCCTTGTAAAGAAACAGTGCTTTGCCACGCATAGAAAGAGCAGTGGGAGAATTACAATAAATAGTTCATTTAAAGACTGGCACCTCGTTTCATTAAGAATGAAGGAGTTTAAGGAACTTACTCTCCCAATTCTTTCGAAGTGATGGATTCCTCGATTAAAATCAATTCTCTTGCCATTGAATGCCCATGTGAACACCACAGGGAGGGAGGGGTCGTGAGACACCTGGCATGGAAGGACTATGCTTTCTCCAACGGTCACATCCAGATTAGAAGGTGGAATTGTAATTACAGTCCTTTCTGTGGAGACAAAAAAATGCTTTTTATTAAAACGCTCGTAAAAAAAGGAGATTTCGAATGAGTTTTGTACCATTTGTAAAATGATTGAAAATTAGCCCAAATGTTCTATTATAAAGAAAATTGTCTCTAATCTGCTGATGATTTTGGACCACTCTTAGCCTTGTGGAGCCCATTCCTTTTGCAGCACCAATACAACGAGTGCCTGGGAGAGCGAGCAGATGTTGGAGGCAGCACTCTCCTTGTGACTTTGTCAAGCCCACAGTCAATAGATATGATTGCAGCTCAAAAAGGACAAGGCTTCATTATGAAGACTGCTAAAAATATGCCCACAGTTCTTCAGACTTGAAAATCTCTCCTTACAGGAGACTGCAGCAGAAGGAAAGCTGCTGTTCATCTCCATATGCTCTATACACGGAGATCCTTAATCTATATGAATGTGAGCAGGAGTTTATTTACTTTACAGCTTCAAAGAAACCTTCCCTGACAGAAAAACTATTTATGTAATCTTTTTTTAACCCCTTACACTGCAACACAAACTTGCAACTCTGATTAAGAGAGGTAGTAGCTTGCTGAAAGGAAGAAAGTAGGTTTATATGGCTTCATTTTTTTGATTTGACTGGCAGATAGATTAGAGATAACAACCACTTTGTTGTAAGCAATTCCCTTGAATAAAGCTTTTGTGCAGGAAATTGTTAGGAAACAGTGAGAATTTAGAGGCACGTGAATAAAATGAGAACAGAATCTATTCAACAATATTAATACATTCTGAAAATAATGGGAGAGGAGAAGAAAATTTGCATGAGGTAGTTCAATGTTCATTTTTACTTAACCCTACGTGTTCAAAATGAGTTGAAAACTCAGAATTTGGGGTTTACCAAGGCCTTGGTTTCAAAGAGGTGTCATTAAGGGAGTGTCAGAGGTTCTCGTGGTGAGCTGGAGCTCAAACTTGGCAGATGATTTCTGAGATTTCTCTGTGTACCCTGATTGCTTTCCACAGCCACGTAAAACTATCGCTGTGGCAGCTCCAGCAGTTTGTCTGAAATCAAGGACTGCAAAACTGTGAAGGTCTCAGTCTTAAAGATACTCCATCATGAGGTCAGAGAAATCTCTTCCTCTCCCTGGAAGCAGCGTGTCAGATGCAATAAATTCCAGGTGATTCAAGGGCCGTATTCTTTGTTGGCACAACTCCACTGATTTCAGCACATGCTGGCAAAGAAGGTGGCTCCATAAATCTCAGATGAAGTAATTGCATTGTGAAGTACAGGTAACTTTTTATAGAAAACATTTTGAAAAGTATCTGAGAGCCACAGAGAACCTCCACAAAGTTTCCTTTTCTTGCTTTCCCTCCTGTTTTTATTCTCACAGCTGAAATAGAGCTGCATGAATAACACTTTGAGGAGAGAAATTCTATTACTTGCCATAATGTATATGCTAAAAGAAGAAAAAATGGAATAGTACCCTGTATATGTGAAAAAATTGGAAAGTTGCTTTTTGTGATAGCTGGAACTTCTCTTTTCCACTAGCAGGTGGAGGGGTGTGATCTTCTGGCCTGATATGGTCCTCCAAACTCATCATCTCTTCCTCCAAACTCATCCTGTGAGACTCTCTCCTTCCTTAAACCCATAAACTTTGTGCATCTCTATGCTGAGCTTTTAAAGCCATCAAAGAAGCAAAGTTTTCCCCTCGACACCAGAATTGACCTCAAAGTGGGAATTCTACGTTGTCTGGATGTTTATGACACATTCTCTCCCAGACTCCACTTGGATTTTGTGTGTTCTGCCTTTAGCTGTGCAGGACAGGTATCTCCACACCTATTCTCTCATAAATGATGCAAAAGGTTCTGTCTGATTTACAAGAGGGTGTCGAAGGGTCTGGCAGGTCAGCCCAGGCTGTCCTCCACCTCCTGTAGCCCCTGGGTCTGCCCCGTGCAGTGGAGCTGGGAGAATTAGGACATGGGAACTGGCTCCTCTGAAGTCACTCTAAAGGTCACTCCCCCAGGTCCTGTCTCCTGTCCAGAGTTGCCCTTGGGAATGGGCTTGGCCCTAACAAGGCTTGTTGACAATGTCAATCAATGAGATGGGCAGCAGCATGTTTCCTGAGCATTCCATTGGTGAGCTCAATATCTGGATAGGAATAAAGAGTGATTCAGCTTTTTCAAGGTTTTTTTTTCAGCATATGATACCCTTTGAATAGGGTATTCTGCTAAAACTCCAAGTCAAGGCTCTTACACCACAGTTTAAATTCACCTTTTCTCCTTTAGTTCACCCAGCATTAATAAAACTTTGTGCCACCAGTGGATTTTCCATATGTCAAGTGCTCCCTGTCCTTCAAATTTCTCTTTATAATATCTGCCCTTCTCAAGACCCTCTTCACCTCTACTGCCACAGGTCTTAATGACTTAGTTCTGTAACTCCTGCTTCTCTTGATTGGATGGTTGATCACCAGGATCGGTGTCTTTTCACTCCTTGACAACACACTGTGTACAATTATAGCATTCCATAAATAAGTAAAATACTGTAAATAAAATCAATTTCGTTCTCTGGAAAGGTCAGAGTAAGACTAAGTAAAAATGATACAAAGGGGATTGCATAGAAGTTGTAATCAGATTCAACACTTACCTTCTCAACTCCACAGAATACAAATAGAAAATGATGTCCTGAGTTTTGTGAAACCTTGAAGCTTCCATGAGAGCCAGTTTATTGTACAGGAAGGGACAGTGACCTCCAGCTGGATGTAGTGAAACTAGCTGGGAATTTTTTGCAACTTCTCTTCATCAGGAAGCTCCAATAATATTATGGTTGCCTCATTAGCTCTGTCATGTAATTGCGTGTGTCATTATTTGATCACGCATTCAAAGAGCTCAGAAATGAGACATCTACAATCCTGCTACATGTTGTTAGAAGGAATAAAGAATTCCAGAGATCATTGACAGGCTGAGAGAGTTGGGGTTGTTCAGCCTGGAGAAGAGAAGGCTCCAGGGAGACCTTCTGGTGGCCTTTCAGTACTTAAAGGGAAGGTTTAGGTTAGAAATTAGGAAGAAGTTCTTCACTATGAGGGTGGGGAGACACTGGCCCAAGTTGCCCAGGGAAGTTGTGGATGCTCCATCCCTGGAGGTGTTCAAGACCAGGTTCGATGGGGCTTGGAGCAACGTGATCTAGTGAAGGTGTCCCTGCCCATGGCAGGAGGTTGGAAGTAGATGATTTTTATGATGCCTCAAAACCCCAAACGTTTCATGATTCTGTGATTTATGTGTTAAAACCTATGGAATGTCTTCTTAGATGGAACAAGATGATTTTTGTGATGCCTCAAAACCCCAAACATTTCATGATTCTGTGATTTATATGTTAAAACCTATGGAATGTCTTCTTAGGGAGAAGATAAATATTTAGAAAAAAAAATATGCATTCTGTGGAACCCTCTAGTGAACTGGTGTTTTTGAATAGCAGAACATAAAGGTTTCTTCTAACACAACAAATCCCAACAGTTGTATGCTGTTAGTACTAAAAGAATAAGTTTTCTTGTTATCATGAGCCTGTTTGCTTCCTCCAAAAAAACACTGAAAACCATCTACCTTGGTTTTCTGTGTGAGATGTGTTTTTTTTTAGTAGTTAACAAAAAAATCCATTTTATTATGGTATTATCATCCTGTTGTATCTCTTGTTCTAGCCTGCTCATATCCTGTGACACCGTTGATGTAGAGTGGTTCACTTGTGCTATATTTCCTGCTGCTTTTATGGGGTTGTCTTTAAGGCTTCCACCTCAAATACTTTTAAAAGCTTCTTAAAAGCTCTTGGTTCTACATTGTCTATCTATCTTGCTTAGCAACTGCAGACATGCATTATATGGCAAATCCCATTCCAGGGGAGAAAATAGATAAGAGGTTGTGAGTGCTGGAGGTATAATAAAGACTTCTCACACAAAGAATAAACAACTCAATGAGCAGCAATAAACTTAATTTGCACATTAGATATGCTTTTCCAAGTTCTGACATTTCAGTTGAAAATAATGCTGAAGCAATGAGGCCTATAATTGAACAGCCAAAACTTCTCCAGAGGGGAAACAAAAACAAATGTTCCCTGCAAACAAGATCATTTTTATACCGTGTTGTTACTCGGCGTTTTAATAAACTTCATCAATGCCAAACAAAATATTTTGTGTGTGTGTTTTAATGTGATTTCCTTCTATTGCTTCGTTAGGATGTGTGGATGTGGGGTGTGAGGTGATACAGAACCTTAATGAAGGCAGAGCTGCCTAAACCCTAAACTTACTTGGTTTATTCATTGCTAGCTGTGCTGTAGCATCATCTCAGCTGACACGTTGCACTGCATCAATCCTAATTGCTCTTTCATGATAGGGGTTTGAAAGAGATTTCTGCCAGATGCAGTAGGTTAGGGAGAAGGTCATGCCTGCAGGCTGCAGTAACTGTTCTGAAGTCAGTGAAAACAAGAATATTAAGAAAAAAAAGAGTTACAAATTACATTTAATAACGTGCTCGCCTCGTAACGATGGCCATCGTTAATTTTTTTTCCCCAAAGTGATTAATAGGCTTAGTATAATCTCAAAAGTTCCACTTTTTAACATGTTCTCCTATAAAATCAACAAATAAGGACACTTTTAGAAGATGTCTGTATTGAAAAGATCGTGCAGGTGTAAAACCCAAGTTTGCCTCAGTTTTCCTTCTTTTTTATATTCTCTTTTTCCTGCCACTGATCAAAGATCAGAGCACAGTCATTTGCTCTCACAGGGATGCTGCTTCTAGGAAACATCACACACAATATCTATTTTCATGGCCTCCAGCTCTGGCCCAGTCCACCTCAGTGATTAGTCTGGACAAATTATTTTTACTAATGGAGCTAGACCATCTATTAATGCAGTAGGAGCGTGGAGCAAAGGACAGCTTTGGACATAATGGACTTTAATATGTTCCACAATGCATTTAAATGGGTTTCAAAGAAGGGTAAAAAATACTGTGGAGAAGACACCCCCCTTGCAGAACATCACTGGATTGGGAGCAGAGGCAGAGTGTGCAGCTAGAGCAGAAGCTTAGTCTCAGTGCAGACAAAGCTGCAGCTTTGGAGGGAAGGAGATTACAGCAGATGTGGCCATTTGAGATGAAGTGTCTCCTAGCCCAAAATGTGATTTTCTGGATGTTTAAACTGATAATCACAGGATGGCTGTTAAGGAAGTTATTTATATGAGTCCAATTAAAGCATCACAACATCTACAGATAAAACTCCTGGCTTCACCATGCTGCTCTAAAAAGCTGGGTTAGGTGTTGAATTTGCCAGCACTGAAGACAGAGGGGAGGGGAAAGGACAGAAGAAGGAAATCTGGCTTGCCAATCCCCAAGGCTTTTTATGCAAGTGCTTCAAAATGTGACTATTACCTGCTAGACAATTACCTGCACTTAGTGCCTTAATTAAAAACAAGGAGGGGGGAAAAAAGAAGAAAAATAGAAGAAGCAATCATGACTTGCATTGGAGCTGGAAATGTGTAATCCAGTCAGGCCAGACACATCTCATCAGATCCCATCAGTCATCTTGCCTTAAAGGATGTAGGATTTGGCTTCTTATAATGAACAAGTTCATAGAGATGAGTCTCAAAGAGGAAAGTCACTTTCTTTTTAAGGAGAGAATTAAAATTTTATCTCATATATATAATGGAGAGGAAAATAATGTGAGAGGATGATGTTCTTCACTATCCCTTTGGATAAAAGACCTGTTTTGTTGCATGAACCTGTAGTGAATGGTTGAAATGGTTTAATTAAGCCAAAATCTTATGTAAGAAAACATAAACAAAAGAAAAATCAACTCCTTTCATATAAAAGGGTGGCATGTGAAATAAAGTGTCCTAGTATCAATATCCAGGAAAAGAAACTAGTCTGAAAGCACAGAAGATATCCAAACAGATCCCTTGGTTTATTATTAATGCAGCAATTAGACTGGGAGAGGACATTTAAATATTCAGAATCACACATCCTGCAAAGGGCCAAAGAAGAGTTTTTGCTTGGCTCTGATTTTTGGAGTTCTTGGAGTCTTGGAGTCAAAAGTCTTTGGCCTTTTGGAGTTCTATGCAGCCCCTACCTGCAATTTTTAAATGGTACTGCAAGGTACCATCTTGATTATCTTTAGATTATGGATTAATAATGATTAATGTCATGAGTAATGTCATTGCCTGTTCCTGGGGATATCTTGGGAGACCTCCCTGATAAACTGATCATCAGAGTGGGAGGGTCATGAAGTTTTCTGCTGTGGGCAGTGGTGGGTTCAGTGTCAGCTTTAAACTGGAAGTAAAAACTTGTCAATACAAGCAATAACTGGCACAGATAAGGCAAAAAAGCACCAACTTTCTAGTCACAAAGCACAAAAGTACTAAGGTACCTTTCACAACCAGGTTCCCCGAATTTCTGGCAAGTCCAAACTGATTTGTTGCAGTACAAGTGTACAGCCCAGCATCTGATTTGGTGATGTTGTAGAGCCTGAGGCTGCCATCCTCTAGTATGCTGACCCTGGGGGAAAAAAAATCAGCAAAAAAAGAAGAAAAAAAGACTTTTGTTAGAGGAACTGGAGTAGAAATGCAATGCTACTTTTAATATTTAAACCCTTACTTTATGCTTTCTTCTCTTCTGCAGGAAACTGAATATGTATCAACCAATTTTCACCTCTGCTTATTATTGATTTTTATATTAGGGATGTTATATTGACATACTGGTGTTGACCATTAACTTATCTAGCTGGCTTTCTTGCAGCAAATTTGGAGTCTCAAGAGAAAGAAAGGAGACCCAAATTGTTAGCTAATTGTGCTATATTTTACCACGAGGGGCTTTTTTATTGGATCCCAATGCTCCTGTGCCATACTAATGCTGTGTCTGAGCCCAGCTGCCTGTGCAGTTTTGTCAGGATTATTAAAAGATATTAGCAGACTAGCTGAGATGCTGAAATACCACCTCACAAGCCAAGGAGCCAAATCAAATCCATCCCTGTCTCACAGGGCCATCAAATCACCTTATTAGTCACTGTGTTGTTTACACCAGTTTGCAGAGTATTGGGTAAATTGCATTTAATGGTAAATTCAGAACTACTTCTGGGTTTTATGGAGAAAATTAATTTCTAATCTCATTCATGTGTTTCTTGATGTCAATGAGATAATTTAGGATGCAAGGCAGTGCAGAGTTCAGCATATGTTTTCCTTAGGTGAGCTCTCACTCCATGTCTGGCACCTTTTTGCTTTTATATACAAAAAAAAACACTTCAGGGTTTGGGATTTTCTTTGGAAATGTACAGAACACGTATCTGTCAAAGGCAGAGAATTTCAAAATGAAAACTGAATGAGGTAAGCAATGAAATTTTGGGATGAAAATATTACCCTGTAATGTGTTGTTAACTTTGAGTCACATCTTCCATCCATCTGTTGCACCTGGTAGATGCTGAAGGTTTTAACCAACTTTTTTTTTGAGTTTAGAAGGACAGTGGGTTGAAAGATATGAAGTTTTTGGATGTTTCCTGTAAATGAGGTCAGGGTTTCTACATACAGCCCCTCTTGGCAGTAAGGCTCCTGCATGAGCACACTCCTTACTAGGCATCAGAGAATCTTTAGCCAACTGGGAAGAGCTGTACTCAAAAGCCACAGTGTCTCACATCTGACAGAACCCAGCTGTAAGTCACAAATCCACAGGAAATCAGGCTTCATTCATTCCAGCACTCGCAGAAGTACTGAATAATTTGATATTCCCCTTCTAATTGACATTTAAATCTAATACAAGAATCCTTTTATAAAAAGGAAATATCTCATTCACGCATCACAGCTTGGGTATTTAATATTTATTACTGACAACATAAGATTGGATGATGTAATGAATTATTAAAGGAAACGAACAATAACAAGAGCAGAAGTTGAAGCTGGCAGAAATATCATAGCCATTAAACCCACAAAAAACCATCCAAGTCTCTTGCTGCTGGTATTTATGTGCTTGTAGCTGTGTGTGTAAGACACGTTAGACCTTGTTCTGCTTCCCCTTACATGCTCCCAGTCTCTCAGCTGATGAAGAGAAGCTCTAGACGTGGATTTCTGGTGGTCTCCTCACTTACATCCCCCCAGTTTCACGTTTCCCCCTCCTGTCTGACCTTACCCTGCTAAAGATTTGCTCCTGACCAGGGCAAGGGTGGATTAGGGAATGAGAAAAGCTGAGATGTCCCCCTGGTGCCAGATGAAAAATTGGTGTTTCCTTGGCAATAATCACCAGGTACTGCAGGAGCTGTTTGGATGCAATTTGTAGTACAAGGAGAAAATAAGTTGGGGTTTAATAATCCATCATACATCCATATTAAACTGGAGAGGAGCAAACTATGAAACAATGAAGCACGCTCTTCACTATAATGATGTATCAACTAAATGACATTTTTCAGATATGAAGGATGAAGAAGGATTAAAGAACTGAGCATTGCTGCTGGCTTCCCATCTCTGTGCATCAAAATGAGAGGCAGAGTCCCCTCAGTGTGAGGACACACCTGATGACAGCATTTTAAAGGCAGGTTCAAATGTGCAGCAACATCTGCAGAGCATTTCACTTCTGCCTCTGCAATTTTCTTCCCTTTAATTCACAGCAGTTTGTGCCAGCCACAAGAAAACCCTCATTAGAAACTGCTGGTGATGAAATAGTTGATTCAGTTGACTGGTTAACTAACATATGGTGGCTTCATCAAAGAGTATCAAAGGAGATTCAGTGTAAATCAGCAAATGTTCATAACTTGGACACCTGAGTAATAAGTTCTAACAAGCCACTGTAGTGTCTTTCTCACCATCAAATATTGATGCCCTGTTATTTTTACTGCAGGTGTTCCTAAAAGCTCTAGGCACAAATTGAAAACCAGAAGTGGGCAAAAAAAAAAAGTCCCCAAAAGCTTCTGATGTGGGTAAATACAAGGAAAAAAAAAACAGTCTGTAAAAATACAGAATAAGAAAGGATCTTTGAATGCACAGTCTGATGCTTAGCCCCTGATGAATTTCTGGCTGGGGCTTTCTCACTGAAGTTTAGTCACATTTCTTTGTCCCTTTATTCTTCATGAGGAATTGAGACCTGAATAATTCCCAGCTTCCTGGTTTAACCCCTCAGGGGGGTTTGCACCCACTCCGGAGCTGAGGAGGTAATGTTTAATCTGAAGAAAGGCTGGTTTGAAACAGTCTTTCAATGGCCAGGCAGGCTGAGGATGGAATGACTCTTTCAACAGAGCCAACCAGAGCTTGGCAAAGAGCAACCAGGAGCTAATGAAAGCTTCAGGGTTGTTTGAAACAGAGGTCATGCTACCTAAAGACAATTAAGGAGCCAGCAGTAAATAAGGTACTGGGGCAGAATTTATGTAAAAGCACAAAGGACTCCAGAGTAATTAGTTAACGAGGGAGTGAATTAAAGAAAAAGAGAGTGAGTGATTTCCAGCTGTACTGAGGTCTGTGTCAGGAGGGGAGGGAGAAAGCAGAGCACAGCAGAACATCAAGATGATGCATTTCAAATGCAAGGAATAAAACCAGAGCACTGTGAAATACCCACCCAGGTGCCACGAACAACCACGTTGCCATCAGGTTCTTCAGAGCCATGACTTTACACCCTGGGTGGGTTCAGAGGGGCTGCACTTTATCCTCTCCCATTTGTCTTTCCAATAATGGATCTGTGGTTCTGAAGGCAATGGGGATATTGCCTTTAATGGGCTTTGGTTCAAGCTCTAAGAAGTGATTTAAAAAGAAGCTGTGGATGTCTCACCTGCTGGAAGGCTTGCTGAAAACTGTGACTTTTCACATCTTAGGCTAAGTGAAGGCTATAGGTAATAAGTCTTAGCATTTGCAACAGAAGATAAGGCAATTCCAAGTACTGTGACATGCCAGAAGAGTCTAACTTGTCCAGCATAATGCAAGCAGAACATTTTGTCTGCCAGGAGGACTGGACTTCTCTGGGCACTGGAACGTGCTGCCCAGGGAGGTGGTGGAGTCACCATCCCTGGAGGGGTTCAAGAAACAAGTAGATGTAGCACTTGAGGCTGTGATCTAATGGTTAAAGAAATGTTGGGATGGAGTTTGGACTTGATGATCCTGGAGGTCCTTTCCAACCAGAGTGATTCTATGATTCAATAAGTGACAGTGCCTGTTGAGGGACCAAAAGCACGAGATCTGAAGCAGATCTGATCGATACATCCCTGAGAAAGAAGGAGGAGGAGGAAGAATGCAATGAGCTCCTCGGGACACGGGTCTTCATAAAGCCCTGATGCAGCAAGGGATTGCTTGAGGATGAGCCTGGCTCTAAACTGGCATCTCTGACTTACAAAACACTTAAATTCCTACCAGACTAGTGCTGACGTCTGTGTTCCTCTCTGAATTACACAGGTGCTACCTCTGGGGAAATAGCTCAATTAAGCAAAGTTGCTATGAGGAAAAGGAGAGATGAAAATCTGGTTGTAGAAATCCATAGAAAGTTCCTGCACACGAGGGCTAATTAGAAATACCCAGAAATATCATTCCATATGTAACAAGCCTGGGAACTTTGCAAGAAGATGGGTAAGTCAAATGCAGTTCACTTCCTGGGGATCCTAAGAACAGAAGGCAGCTCTTGAAGCTCTTTTCAGAGACATGTCTGGCCAATTTGCCACCTGCAGGATGCCCACAGCAGAGGGTGAAGGCAGGGAAAGGACGGAGCAGCAAGTGCCACAGTCCAGCACCCAGTGACTTGTAACCCAGGATTTGGATGGAGACGTGGTGGTTGTATGTACAGGATGAAATCTGTCTTCAGGAATGAATCACAGAGTGGTGGGGTTGGAAGGGACCTCTAGACCCTGCTCCAGCAGCTCACCCACTTCAGGGTGCCCAGGATCACATCCAGATGGGTTTGGAATCTCTCCAGAGCAGGAGACTCCACAACCTCTCTGGGCAGCTGCTCCAGGCTTGACCACCCTCACACCAAAGAATTTTTTCCTCCTGTTCAGATGGAACCTCCTGGGTTCCAATTTGTGCCCATTGCCCCTTCTCCTACCACTGGGTACCACTGACATAATGAGTTTGGTGCTATCTTCTTACCCCCAACCCTTTAGCTATTGATCAGCATCGACTAGATGAAAAGATTTGCTGGATTCAGATGGATTCATGGATGAATCCAAAGCCCTTTGAGCAAATGTTTAGTCCTACAATGGGTTGTGAGTTTTCCCCTGGTTTATTTAAGCATCGTGCAAGCGACATCCTTTTGTTTGCTTTTAATCTCCTCATTTCCATTGGATTGATCCACGTCTTCCTCCTCTCTAAGTGGCTCCATTAGCAGACAAGATAAGCATTGTGTGCAGGAAGGGAAAACAAACAGCCTACCCAAGATCTGCTGGAGTCAAAACTTGGGCTAATGTTCCACAATAATAGATGGCAGAGTCTCTGTGGAAGGCACGAGCCCAGGGAAGAAGAGAGAGCTCATTAAAATTGTCACACATACTTTTTAAGTAAAGAACTTGAGAAATCAAGCAGGGATGATAGGTACAACTTTT